TCCTCCACTGTACTCCCCAGATCCACTTCAGTGTGATTATCATCAGTTCACAGTAGAAAGTTTAAGAGTTACTATGTCATGATTGAACTGCCTTTGAAGCACTTACCTAATCATGGATGAGCTAGGGACTAACAGTCTGTATTTAGATAATTAATTTCAATTCAATTTAAATAATTTAAACATAGCCTAACCAATGGACTCAGCCTGCACAGGAGATAATCCTGATGCCTAAAGCACTTCAGTGGTTTCCAGGCAGCTGCACAAGCAGTTCCATCACCCACCCCACCCCCACCCAACGCAGCACAGCACTGATGTGTGCTTCTCAGCCCTGTCTGAAAACTTGAAGCAGAGGAGTAACTCAGCCTGACCTGCCCCGGAGCTGCCTCAGGTAGTCTGGCCATCGTTCCCTGTAGATCTCCTCCTTCTCCTCCTTCTCAGGCCTGCTGACATGGCCCTGCATGAAGCCTTTCTTCCAGCGCGGCCGGCGGTCCGTGCTCTCCGGGGTGTACCTGCCAGCACAGCAACACACAGGCACATTGCAAACTGAGGAGCTTTAATGCAGCAGCACAGCATTTTTCAAACCATGGACAACATGCTGTGCTTTGGCTAGACCATGGAGGTAAGACTCCTCAGTTTCTTCTCTGAAAGAAATCTTACACATAAAAACAGGCACCAACCTGAGGAACAGAATGTGTAGAAACGTGTGAACAGCAAAGACTAGCTTGACTTAGAGGCCTGAAAAATTCACCACACCAAAAGACAAAGTTTTTCCCTCCTCAAGCTAACATTTCCAGGTAGCTCTATTGCACCTTTAATTACTATACAAGCTACAAGACCTCCCTTGGAAGGTTTTCTGTTGAAAAACACAGCAACTTCTTCTTTATGTCATGGTAATCTTTGAACAGACACACAAAGACAAACCCCCAACATACTCTCTTCAATGGTGTTCAGAAAACCCACTTACCTCAGCTTCTCAATGACATCTTCGAGCAGATATTCCACCACAGGGAAAGTGAATCCAGGAATATGAATCATTGGACAGTGATCTGTGGAGGAAGGCACAGCTCGGGTTAAAACCCACTAGTGAAACACTGCACTGAACAACAGAGGCAATAAACATTCTTTGCTACTTTTGCAGTACAGCTGCCATGTCTGTAGTTTTCCTGATTATTCATTTTCAGATTCTCATGGCAGATGCTAAATTCACCCCCAAATAAAGTATAGGCAGCAAGCAGCAGATCGTACACCAGCACACTCACCTGGTTCCAGCTACAGGATAAAGCTAGAAGACAACTAACAGTTCACTGTGGTTACCCACTCACACCAACGATTCTACAATGTGCTAAACACTATCAAATATTTAACAGGAAACACTTTGTGGATTTTGCTTCCATAACACATCTGGAAAGCAAAACCAGAAGCAATATATGGTCATGATGATAACACTGAGGGAATCAGCATCTCCAGCAGCAGGTGGCAACTATTTGTACCATTGAAGTCATTACCTCTTGATAAAAATCAATTCCATAATTTGAGAACTGCACTATGCTGTAGAAGCTTCAACTACTAAAGAACATTTCACCTACCAAAGTACTCAGAGAACTTCTCAGCGTTCAGAGTAGCACTCATCAGTATGACCTTCAGGTCCAAACGGATGTTCAGAAGATCTTTGATGATGCTCATTAGAACATCTGACTGAAGATTTCTCTCATGGATTTCATCAAGGACTACATGGCTGATGCTGGACAAGTGCCTGAAATAGAAGAGGAGGAAGTTAAACATTTGTTTTTAAGCAAATTAGAACTGCAGAGCCAAGACTGTTGGAAACAGCTCTGGAGTCATCTCATAACTCCATTTGGTTTCTCATTAAACAGAAGAACTTACTTATCTGACTGGAGCCACTGCAGGACAATTCCTGTGGTGCAGTACAGAATTGAGCCTTGTTTCCTTGGCAACCGACTGAAAGAGACACATTAGAAATTCCTCAGTTCTCTATTTTACAAGATACTTTTAAAGCTTAAAATCCAACTGCAGAAGCCATTACAGGCACGATGCAGTGTGCTCACTCTGCCTCCCTCCTGCCCAGCTCAGCTGGAGGGACAAGGAATTAGGCCACAGCTGCATGAGTTCTGTGGATGGGGAGTGACCAGGGATCTGACAGGAGCACTGACTACCCAGACATCATTTGTCATGGCTGCAGCCTGAACTGCTGCTCCCAAACCCTGTCCAGGCCCAGCACAGAGGGCACCTGCACACACAGCAGTACAACATCCCTGACTGAACAGCAAAGGGAAGTGTCATGAGATGCTGTGAACTGCAGTCCAAATGCTGAGAGGACTGAGCTGTCCTCTCTCCCCAGCAGTTCTGCTTCAGCCATAACTGAGTTCCATCATTTGCTGGTCAGATTTCAGATACTATTCTAAATTACAGCTGACTCCAAGTGTAAGAGGTTTTCCACTGCAGCACAGGGCCTGCAAACTCCTGCCAATGTACCTATTACAATACATTGTTTTCCACACATATGTGGCTTAGAGCATTCTCTCCTTTAGTATTTCCATTTCTCCTTGAAATTCATGGATTGGGAACATCAGTTTTATTTCTATCTACAGTAGAACCCTTTAGAAGAGCTGAAATAAGGACTTGCCAGGCAAAGCACACCTTGGTGTCATCACTGTCACTCACTGCACAAAGCACAGTGACTGCACTCAAACTCTTT